GTGTGGGATGTTGCAATGTGTGTTGCAGTGTGCATAAAAACCAATTGGTACATAGACCGGAGCCTGATAAGTGGCCATGCTATCATGAAGCACCACTACGAAGATGCAGTGAAGCTCTACGATAAGGGCTTTGTCCTCTCTGCGTGACTAAAGAAGTCGGTGTCTGCAGCGTGCTCTCTTCTCACTCTCACGAGGTAAAGGGGAGCAGGTTGCCCACCGGATCTTGCTGCACCCTCACTCTCACTCGTCTTCATCACCGCTCAGCTTCGACAGCCACTTCACTCCGTGAGCACCCATAAGAGCAGGCCAGCTACCCATCCCATCTCTCCTCTTCTCTTCTCCAGCCCCCTCTTCCACACCACCGCCCCCATTGCAAGCTACGCTGCAGCGCTTACCGGCACTGCTCAACACTTACTCCCTCACTAAGCACCAGTCACTAATCCTTCACCATGGCCAAAGCCGCCGCCGACAGCAACGCAGGCCAGAAGACAATTCCAGCCGACTGCGTCTCCGTCCTGCTCATGGCCCTCGACAAAACTACCATCACCAAGGCGCAGTACGAGCTGATGAGCGCCCTCGACGGCAACCGCACCGCTTCCAGCTTCGAGCATCAGTTCCGCAGCATCACCGCCAAAGCCAAGGAGTTGAGGTCGCGTGTCGACAACGGCGAGAAGTTCGAGGCTGTTGCGCCGGCTAATAAGCGTGGTATGTGCAGTCCGAGTTAGCATGAGAGATATTGGCTAATTGTTATTGACAGCGGCTGGAAGTGCGACTGCTTCGCCTGCGACTCCGAGGAAGCGAAAGGGTGCAGGTGATGACAATGGCACTCCGGTCAAGAAGCGCGCATCCCCGAAAAAGAAGATGGCCAGCGAGGAGCTCAGCAACGACTTGGGTGACAGCGGTCTCGATCTTCCCGTCGACATGGACCAGTTCAGTACGTCTGTTTCGATCACCAGCTACATTTCCCACTTGCTGATCATCGCGCCTAGTCAAAAACGAAGCAGGATACGAGATTTGAGACGGTTGGGTGACAGGCGGATGGACGGGGTTGATACTTGAAGGAAGCGTTGCGACGACTTCAGCATTGCGACATTGACAGCTTGTACTGAACTCTCTGGGATACGGCGAGCTTTACACAGCCATGACAGAAACTCAATGAAATGATCTGACACACAAAAATGACTCGCTCGCAAGGAAAATTGATGTGCAGAGTGGCAAGCAAACGTTGGACAGGAATAGATGTGTTAATCACAACGACTGCTTACTCTCCGCAATCCACCGAAGCGTTGCTCTGTTCTTCTGTAGTGTGCTTGTAATCTCCGTTCGGTGGATCCCAATGTCGGCCCGCACAGATGGTGACTGGGGGCGAAGAGACATTGTTCATCACCGGCGCTGCACCGGATCCACTTTTCCACATCTGACAAAGGAGAACCGGTGACGTTGAGTTTGGCTCGAGTGTTTCTCATTGCCGCATGCGGATGGGCTGGGAATGTTTGCGCGCACACAAACACATGCATACACACAAACAAACAAAGCGAAGCGCAGCGCGAGGAATTGGACCGCATTTCCTCGACACGACCAAAATGTCGCGCAATTTATCCTCGAAATTGAAAAGCGTCGTCGTCATCGCGGCGCAACAGCTCTGTGTACGCCGCCGGCAGCGACTAATCTCCAAACGCTTGGGGGTGCAAAACTGCAACGCCCTGGCGACAGGCGGCGCCCCTGAATTTCCCCAGATTATTGAGTGGCGATTGGCCAGGGCCGGGATTGGGCTACACAGTGACACTGCGGCCGTTGGCGTGCTGCTTATGCGCCGGGACGCCAAGTCTAGCCGCGCAGTGAATTGCCATGGGCCTGCGCAGGCGAGACTGTAGCTCCAAGACCAGGCCGCCTGAAAAGGGGGCACACTTTGGTTCGAGAAAAGACGCCATTAGGCCAGCGGCCGAATGGTAGGGGTGGCTGCGAGCTAATCAAGAGCGCCCAAACTGTATTCGGCATATTTCAATTTTGCGTTCTTGCCGTCGGGGAGCACCCTAGTCGGCGTGAAGCTCTCAGTGGTCAGCCGTGTTGCTCCAAGCGTTTCAGTGCTCTTGTTTGTTCCATTGTGAACCTATATACTCTGCGCCTGTCCCACCACCTCCTTCTTTCTTGCCAACCCAAGTCACTCGTTCCTTAATCCGACCATTACTACTTATACACCCTTAATACCAACCTAATCCACCAAAACCCCCCCACCAACAACACCATCAACATGCGTTTCTTCGAGATTGTCGTTTCGGGCGCTGCCCTCATCTCCTCTGGCCTCGCCGTTACCATCGACACCTACCCTACCTCTGGTGTTGAGGCCGGCAAGAGCTACACCATCACCTACTCCCCCAAGGACGCCCCGGCCACCTTCGTCCTCCGCAAGGGCGCCTCTGGCAACCTCGACACCGTCGGCACCATTGGTACGTTGACGCGCACAACCACAGGATGAAAACACATGCTAACAGTCCCAGGTACCGGCACCGGTGGCTCCTTCACCTGGTCTGTCGACAAGGCGCTCCCCAACGACGGCAGCTACGCGCTCGAGGTCAAGCAGGGCAGCGAGATCAACTACTCCGGCCAGTTCCCGCTCTCCGGCGGCTCCAACGCGCCTGCGTCCGCATCCTCTGTGCTCGCATCTGCGTCCTCCGCGCTCTCATCCGCTGCGTCTGCCGCATCTTCCGCCGCATCTTCCATTGCCTCGTCCGCTGCGTCTGCCGTCACCAGCAGCGCCGCTTCCGTCTCTGCCATGCCCTCGTCCAGCGCCAACAGCACCGTCTCCACCGCTACTCTCTCCCGCAGCGCTTCTCCCTCTGCTTCGCGCCCTGCTTCCACCACCGGAGGCAGCCCGCCCCAGAGCACCGGCGCCGCTTCCATGCTCTCGTCCAGCCCTGTGGCGATCCTCTTCGGCGCCATTGCTGCGTTTGCTTACCTCAACTAAGCGCGCGGTATCTATCTTCTTAGCTTGATATCCTGCATTGGGTAATGCGGCGTTGCTTTCTCGAGTGGTGTATACGTATACCCTGGTTTTTGAGTGTGGTTAGTTGGTCATTAAGTGCCGATTTGTACAGTATGGTCGCTAGAAAATGAAAAATACCTAAACATTATTGGATGGCATTTTGCTTGTGTTTGTTGTGCGTCATGCTATGGTCACATTGTGTTACGCAGTGCTGTCATGCCGCATGTCCTTGCGCGCATTTTGCACCTCCCTTTCTGGGGTACATGCGTCGCACAGTACACGGCATCGTAGTACGAAGGCATCATAATGTCGTGGCCGCGTCGATCTAACACTGCATCTGAGGCATGCCCAACCAGAACGCAGTCGCATGATCAGTTTCCCCACATCTGAAGTTACCGTGCTTCAGATTCCAGATGCCTCAAACCCCAGATCGTGCATCATCGCATCGCCCAAACCACGGTCTGGGTTCCACAGAACACTATGTCCTTGCGTCGGGGCAGATTCTCCACTGCGCAGCGGACCGAGAAGATCACATTGCATCTTGCTTCGCCACATTACATACCACCTACCATAGCCACATTCTACTACTACTACTTACCTACTCACACACACAAAGTAGCTTTCGATTCGAACATGCCGCATTTCCGCGACACACACGTAACACACGCCCTTTGGACCGTGTTTACGCGTCAATATTCTTGGCACTGCAAACGCTATATCTTTCCGCGCCGCGCATGTGCCGCTAACGCAAGGAGGTGGCGACATCTTACATCTCACATGCAGTCTGGTTCTGGAAGCGGGGGGGCTGACGGCTGACGAGGCTGAGAACCTGATGGAGTGTGGACTAAAGTGTATGCGACGCAGTCTCATTCGATGACCAGCAGCGCCTATGAGCATGCGGAGTGGCAGAAAGAGGCGAATGAGCGCTTTTGTATGGTTTAGGAAGGGGGCCGCGATTGGGTGAGAATTCATGGTGCTGCGCTATTGGGTCAGATGGCGGAAAATGGCTGGAGATTCATCAGCTGCTGCGCCCATGGTGAAGACTGGGTGAGTCGTGACATGTTCGATCTACGAGTGTGCTGCAGTGTGGCTTGCGTTTTCAATCTTCGTGTCTATCCTATGCGAATCTGGATCTGACGTTGATGGTATGCGGACCAAGGTGGTTGCACGGAGCAGTGCCAAAGAGTGCACGAGAAGCTAGAAGTCCTCGTCTTCAACCTCCATACTATCGCAGTGAGATGGCGTATTGCGCTCTAGTTCCGCAGTTCAGGCATCAGGAAGTTGACGAAACTTCACTTTTCTTTTGACTGGGATAAATTCTTATCTGCAGTCATCGGTATACATGTATTTATCATTTTGTGATCATTTGTTAGGTGAGGTCGCTCAGCCGGACGATCGGCGAGATTGAATGCGCCGATTCTCCGTCTCACAGGCCTGAGATTAGCCCAAAAGGGACTAGTGATCGGAGCAGGCAGGACATCCAACTCTCCTACTTATCACTGTCATCCGCCGCACTTTCAGCCAAGATGTAAACCATCTCCGTCGGAAGCGGCTCGTTTCGGTTGTTTTTACCCATGTCGTCTGCACGAGTCCGTAAGGCTTGCCTACAGTGTATCCGCGCAAAAGCCAAATGCTCTACCTCGGAACATCGACCGGACGAGTGTCATCGATGCGTTAGGCTCAACAAGCAATGCGCTTTTGAAGTAGTCGCTAAGAAGCCTGGTCCGGGACCGAAGTCTAGATCGTACGTATATGATCATTCCACCACGTTGTGTAGCTTTAGTACCATGGTGCATAGTTCACAGGAGGTGTACAACCACCTTACCAGCTTCGTTGATCTCGTGAAAACTGCTCAAAGACTTTGATATCCTGATGAAGAGCCAGTACTAACATCACATCTAGACGCGTGCGACAACTTGAACAGCGTGTGGAGAGCCTGATGGACCTCATATCTGCAAAGAACACGGAAGGCACATCAACACTAGCCTCTCCAAGTACCACACCAATACAAGTAGCCACCCCGGAAACCAGCGCGGTATCAAACACACCGACAGACGATGCATCTTGCTATTCTAGGTCTCTGACTCACACCGCGCTTCAATCAGCAGCCTTTCGATTCTATGATCCTGTGGATGCAGGAGCAATCAGCGAGGAGCGTGCGTATCGTCTGCTAGATGAGTTCAAACAGCATTTCGTCTGGGCTTTCCCGTTCATAGTAGTCGATGTAGACGGTCCAACATTGCGACGCCAGGAGCCCTTCCTCTTCCATGCCATCCTGACTGTCACCGCATACGACACTCCAGGTCTACAGTATGTGCTGTCTGACAAGCTGAGACACGAGATTGGTAGAGTTGTAGAACACTCAAAGAAGAGTCTCGGGATCCTCCAAGGCTTGCTGGTATACGGCGGATGGTACCATGGCTTCTATCATCCAGCGTCTCAGCAACTCACAATGATTGTTCATCTCTGTATGGCCATGGTACAAGATCTCGGGCTCTCAAAGAATAGGAAGCCGAAACCTGTGCGAAGGGGCGCTCCCGTTTGCGGAGGCGGAGGAACCAACCAAGTCAAGGGCACTATGCACGAGAAGCGCGCTTTGCTCGGTACCTATTTTCTTACCGTGACGTGAGTAGCTCGCAACAGCAATTCTGATGCATGAGTGTCTGACTGATGTAGTTTTGCGCAAGCATGGCGGCAGCGAACAATCATGCCATACACCCGTTTCATGGCACAAACCTGCGATGCATTTGAAAGTTCTGCAGTACTGTCCGACACGCTCATTCGTCCTTTGGTCAAAGCGAGCGAGCTTCTGTCTCGTGCCAACGACCATTTCTCATACTCCGACATTGACAATGCGGAAGTCAGGGGAGCGATCTTGATCAGCATGTCGACCAACAACTTTCTTGCAGAATTACAGCACATCAAAGACTTCATCTCATTCTTCCCGTTGCTCAAGGACAATAGTAAGTCGGTTCCAAGAGGCACAGCCTGATCAACTTGCACTAACGGTACCTGCAGCTACATTGATACTGACACTATCGCTGGTAGAAATAGGCATCAATGAAGTTTGTCTGCATACCTCGTTGTGGAGCACGTCGTCCCTGTCGGCCACAACCACGCTATGTCCTACCAGACTAAAGATGCTTCATCGTAGTATGCAAGGGGCAACTTCCTACCTAAGGACACTCATCCAAACGCCGCAGCCATTGCTATATCGACTAGGCCTCGGCTCATGGACTGGTTGGTTCTATGTATTTGTCCTCATGTGCAAGCTCGTTTTTCTGGAAGAGAATGAGCGCCTAGGCGAGACGGAAGTCGACGATTTGCCAGAGGAGATCAACAACTTGACACCAGAAGGTGTGGAGCCAGACAGATTTAAGGCCTCATGACACGAATGTTCATGGAACTTTCAATGCAACCACAGCGTCTGGTGGCATGGTTACCGATCCGACTTGGAATGCGATCGCGCTCACCGAACAGTACGGTCTTTGTCAGCTATCAGACCAAGTCATGAAGAAGTTGACTTTCTCCCTACCCGAGGACTTCATCCCATGGCAAAAACCAAGAGGAGAACGACACTCGCTATACCCCGTCTCATGCTTACACAAGATTATGCTGCAAGGCTTAACGAAACGTATCGAGCGACTCAAAGTCACTGACGACACCATTCTTACTGGTAATCAGGCCGCTGCAGCACCGGTAGCATCCACACTAGGCTCCACAACTGCATGGCAGGTACCTCACACCAATTCGGACGATGCCAGGCGCGTATTGACTATGCCTTTCAATAATTTCATGAATTTCGACTCGCTCAACTTCGATGGCATCACGTTGCCGTCGACGGACTTCTCGCAAGGCGGACAGGAGTGGGGTGATATCATGTGGGACATGGCTATGGACGACTTTACGATGCCGCAGCTGTAGCGGATGGTGCAGACTTGTGGTGTACACATGGTATGGTAGAAGCGACACGAAGATAGTCCTCCTACACCGACACACGTACCATCACAACTGCCACTCACCTACCTTAGAGACCTGCCTTTGAGTCAGCCTCGACGTCTTCTCATATCAAAGTAGCTTCGCTGCTCGGTGGCAGTGCTTCGCACGTTCAAGGCGCCAGTTTCCGAGCCCTTCTCATAAGCAACACATCCGGCTTCCCCGAACGAGTAACGACCGATGTCTTCGCTGTCAAGCCCGGTCATTAATTCGACATGGACCTCAACCCAGCACCCAGAGTGGCAAAGCGTGTAAGCCTGATCGCTGGTGCTAATGCCACTAGACTCCCCACTGCGCGCTAGCTTCCAGCTCAGCTGAACACGGGCAGCTATACAAGAACGCCGTATGTCTTCCCATCGTAGTCGCGATTCAACCACAGACCCGAACAGCACCACCTCCATCCCAACACAATGTCATCACCGACCAGCTCTCCCAACTTCTGGCAACCCCTCCTCTCCACCATCGACAACACACCACCCTGGTTCTCCGCCCTCCCCGAACTCCTCGGGACCCTCTACCAACTCTCCAAAGCCATCGACTGCGGCTACCTGCGCCCACGCCCCGTGAAGAGAATGGTCCCGGACGTTGTGATTTCCGCTGCTATTATCAATAGGTATCCTGTGTACCAGTGGCTTGTTCACGGGAAGACGTTCAGCACGAGTGTGGTTGTGCTTTGGGTGGGGCTTCATTTGGCTGTGGTGGCGCTGCTTGTCATGGCGGCGAGGGCGAGGAGGATTAGTGAGGAGTGTGGGCGGAAGTTGGAGGAGTTGAAGAGGGAGGGCGTGGAGAGGGGATTTGAAAAGGCGGAGGGGTGTAGGGAGTGTGGGCATTAGAAAATCGACTGGGAGGGAGTTGCTGAACTATCTTGGACCGCGCTGTTGTTCCGCTTGGCGTCATCTCCTCGGGTTCCCATCAACACATGGTGCGCCTGCTATACACGATGTTGTCGAGCGCTGTACTTTGCACCAAAGCAGCTGGACAGAGCCATTGGAATGGGTACATTTGAAGATGGAGAGCTCGCTGCCGATGTTCGAGCGTTCATCGAGGGCACAAGATAGGATGCGCATGTAAAGCCTGGCTGATCTTCAAGACCGAGGAGTTATCTTGCACAGGCGGGCTTGCACCGCATCAAAATGCTGATACAGTTTGACGGCACAGCAAATGAATTACGCAGGATATGATAAGATGACCCATGTAGATTTGTAGCATTCGACAGAGAAGTCGCTCTTATGGAGTTTGAAACGGCCTCTGTCGCTTAGACACTATTCACGGTGTCCGATGAGGAGTCGCAGTCATCGAGATAGTAGCAGACTTTGGAGCTCAGGATATGCAAACGCCGCTTCATAGTCCATTGGCGTTTTCATCATCCTCTTCAGTCCTGCTATATAGCCTCAATGGGAAGATTGGCTCCTTGTACCAGCATCGCGCTTGTCGTATGCAATTTGATATTTGCGAGATCATTCTTCCAGCCCTTCTTCCAGTTCCACTTCCAGCTCGTCTTCTAGCTTTTCGTCTAGCAGTTCTGGGCCGAAAATTCCGCTCTTAGCAACGCTTTCAAGGAAGCCTTTTGGAACACCTCGAAACTCTCGCTCGTCGTACGTGTCGCCCTCCCACCAAACTCCGTATTCATCATGGATGGTGAGAGCTTCAAGAGACAAGGACTTCAAGACCTTCAGTATTGGTTCGTATGTGACCGTTATCATATCCCTCAATGAAACAGATTGGAGTGTTCCCTTGTACAACTCGAAAAGATTGAGTAGCCGTGGGCACATCTGATTGCCTCTGGTGATCGATATGTGTCTCAATCCGGGCACCTCCAAGATCCGAGGATACAGTATAGCGTGTATTGGAGATGAGGAAGGAAACCAGCCCAATTCAACGCTTAAAGATCTTAAATTTGGAAAATTTGTTCTTGACACTGCGATCGCCGAGATGGAAGGATTCGGTCTGGACCTGGCTCGAGGTACGATGCCTGCTTCGATCAATGTCAATTCTCTGACCTGGCGAAAGATGCTCATGGCGGCATCCGAAGATGCAGAAGTCACGAAGTACTGAGGTTCTTTGATAGTCACGGCCAGACACAGGCACTTTGGCTGCAATTTGGCGACTAACATCATGTCCATTAGTAGTCGGAACCCGAGATCAGCTCCAGCTTCGGATATGACGCCAGAGACTACAGCGAAGTTAAAGAGATCATTCGATTTGTGTTGGTGCGCGAAGTCTCTGAACCTTGCTGGTATGTGATCCACGTCGTAATAGTAGCAGATGTTGTCAAGATTGACCAGGGAAACCATGCATGCAGAGACCATATATTTAAGGCCTCGCTCGAATTCAGCATTGATGCCAACAGGACCCAGTTCAAGAACAGAGGTGTCTTCGGTAGTTGTGGGCAAAGACCAGGCAGTTGTGTACCAGATCTTGTCCACATCACGAAGTCGTCTGAGATCGTTTTGATGGACATCATTCAGGTATGCGACAACACAACCATCATTTCCATCATTGGCCAGAGCGTCATGTATGAAAGGGTACGTTTTGTTGACTTTGAAGCAAGACATCGTGAGTTTGTTCATCCAGGGCGCTAAGCTCGCGCAACGTGTAAGTGCAACGAGATTTGCCATACTCTCCTCGGAGCACATGTCGAAGAGAGTCTCACCCAGAACTTTAGCCAGCGATCTCCAGCTGATGCTGCGTATTGTACGACTGACTAACCTATGTCCCAAGAGGAGAGACGCAAAAGAGGCGCCAAATTCTCCCTCTAGTTCACAGCGGATTGGTTTCGCATCGTTGTGTCGGTATCCGGCGGGCGGGATGATATCCCCGACGACCTCCAAGAGTATCTTCTCAAGTAACTCCGATGGTAGCCTCTCAAGGAAGCTGTCGCCCGCGAGCGGCGCAGGTTGCGACGTAGCTGCCATAATCGTAGTCCAGTAGTTGTCGTTGTGTCGTGCGCTCGTTCGGCCGCGCGGAGCTGCGTCTTAGACAGGGTTGTAGTAGAGTTGGGGAGAAAGTTCGGAGCTGATCAAAATAAGGTGAGAGCGTGCGCTAGTTCACGCGCTAGTGCACGTGGCACGGATCAGGCAAGAGCGTGTAGGTGAAGGAGGGGGTGACGTAAGAACATTCACTTGCAGTTTTTAAAAGGGCTGTTCATAGATATCTAGTAAACGGCGTCACACAGCTTTATATTATGCGAAAATACGGCTATTATTTCATTTTCCTACTCGCGTTACTTCCATAGACGAGGTCGATAGAGAGCAGCAATTTCCCAGGTTGAGAGGCTGTCAGTGTACGAAGCTTGGAATCGATTCCCTCATCCTACAGACATGGCATATGTAGGCTTGACCATACTGTAGAGAGCCTACACTTCAGCATGACCTCTCTTTACTTCAATTTCGTCATGAAACAACCCATTCTCGCCCCAATATTCCTCCAGCACCCTGGCAAATTCGACCGGAAGTACGGTAACTTCTTTGGCCAAGCTCTTGACCAGATCTTGTGGCATCTGGGCGAATATGGCGTCGTCGTAGGTGCGCCACTTATGAAGTTGATGTAGAATAAGGCCAGCCCATGAGACGTCGATTGTGAGATGCTTGAGCTGACGGTAACCCATGGCGTTGTATAGATCGACCAGCGATAAATCCCAGTCGTAACAACTTCTTCGGAGAACAAGTTGTTCGACATGCATGCCATATAGCCGGATAAAGGACAGCAGGTCCGGTTCGGCGAGTACAGCATCCAAGATGACGAGTCGCTGAAGAGCGGGAACCTCTGACGGCAATGGTAACGGACCAGGATTGATCCCAATACGATTGTTGTGATACAAGGTTAAGTTCTTCAGAGCGGGAAAGTTTGACTTGTTTATCGAAGCCCGCGATGGTGGTGGTAGTCGTCCTCGATATGTTCTGGCTCGAAGCTGTAGATCGTAGCTGTTCAGTAGAAGCAGGTTCTGCACCTCAGAACAGGCTGCTGCTACCAAGCTCTCGGGGCAGTTGGTGATGAAAGTATGGCTTTCGTGAAGCTCTACAGCAAGCTCAAGAGTACGCGGCCGCACTTTTGACTTGGCTATTGCACTTATCAGGATCTCAAGACCAAGATGTGCATGTAGCGCAGAAGCGGTAGGATCAGGATAGCAAGCACCCTTCATTTCTCCGACACCCAAAGAACGAAGCTTGCGATATCTTCCCGGAGATGTTTGCTCGTTGGCCCAAGAGTATTGAAAATGGTCCAGATTCGCCATGCGTTCAATGCACTCAACCAATGTTTGACCGAGTGTACATTGTGTTGATTGATAAAACACCAGCACTCTCGGCTGGGACTGCACCAACAGCTCAAAATCTGACGCAGGAGGCCAGATCTCTGAATACCAAGCTTCCTCCTCTACCTTGACTTGTGCATACTCCTGACGAATCTCTGGATGCAGCTTCGTAAGGGCTGGTCCAAGGGTGTCATGGAATCCTTTCAGCTGTATTGGAAAACTTTCATTCACTATAAGGCAAGAGAAAGTCAACTTTGTGACCCAGCGCGCCAATTGCGCCGTCTTTGATAAGGTCTCTAGGTTCTGGATGCTTATCTTCGAGCGTAAATCGTAAATAGTTTCCCCAATGACCTTTGCAAGTGCTCGGTAAGATGCATCCCGAAATTTCCGACATGTTGAGCGGAAGTCCAGAATAGTCGATGGGCCTGGCGCCGAGATATTGCGGAGTCTCCCATGTTCATCCATTCCAGGTGAGTTGACGTGGCTGACGGCATATAGCAAGACGTTTTCCAACAGCTCGGTGGGTAGCTTGTGGATCTGACATGCGGCGTCTGTACGGTTGAGCGTTGTGGTCGCCATGCTAGAGGATGGAGCGCAGCTTGTGTGGTGAGGTTGAGACAATGAGCGAAAGTGGAGGTCGAGGAGTCGTGGTTCGATTGCGAGAAGAGCAGAAAGTATTGTCATGTCAAGGTATTTATGTGTACACGCTAGCTTGCGTGGCGCTAGGCCACGTGACAGCAGCCGGGCAGGCCTAGGTAGCAATAACATGTGACCACCCTAGAATTCTTCCAGGACAACATAACCGCCTAAAGCTCTTTAAACCCTTACAAGATGCTAACTGTAAGTACTGCAGTATCCCATATCCAGCCTCAAGGCTTCATGACTCTACATTGTCCGCGTCGAGATTTTGCGAAACCCTTCAGGATGACCGATCACTGATCACGAATAAGTTCTAGGAATAGTGGTGGAGGGTTTTGGTTAATATCATTTGTATTGATAAGGCCTTTCTCGTTCATCGAATGTTTCATTTTGCTACACAAATCTTCACGAGCAGTCTTGTCTTCCCCGCGTAATGCTTCATCTTACGAGCGCCCGTCTTTCGCCGTCCAATAAACCGAAGCCGTACGCAGTACGACGTGAATCTCCTCGACGTCGACCAAAATTCTACCAACTGTTTGTTTGTGTCGACTCCGCGTGACTGTTCACATCTGCACCGACCACCTACTGCCAGTGTTCATCTAAAGCCTGTCGGAAGTTGGGCTCAAGCACAACTGTCTCTGCCGAGGCGAGAAGGTGATCTCTACGCATACCTTGCAGCTTTGCGTGCATTTCGCCATTTTTCTGCCCCTCAGGTTGCTCTAGATATTGTCTCCAAAGTTCACTTTCTCCAAATCTGATTTCGAGACGTTCAAGGCTGAGAGCATTAAGTACGCCAAATACTAGACTGAACTCTGTTTCGCCGACTCTTTCGAAGACTAGATCGTGTAGATGACCTCCGTAATGATAGAGAAACTGGAGAATGGAGTTCGTGTGAAGAAAATTTGCACGGATGGTGAGATGAGAGAGAGACGGAACAGCTGTTGGGAGTGGGCATGGCGCATCCCTCGGGTCATCTTCATCGTTCAGAGAAGAACCCTCAATCGTCAATGACCGGAGGGCGGGGAACGTGCGCTGTGTCAGTATCACTCGGGGCTCGCGGCCATAATGGCCATCTCCATCAAATTCGTGGTAGCTGTTCCTGAGCACCAAAGTCTCTACTTTGTGGCATGCTTTGACCACGACATCGATGGGAAGACCAGTGAGAAAGGCATGAGGTTCCTCTGTTTGGACTCCCAGCTCCATTGTCCGAACGTTCGTGTTCGATGCGGCCAGTGCGCCCATGAAAATGTCCAGTCCTATGTGGGCGTTCAGACGGGGAAAGCGTTCACTAGCGTCGCATCCGAGGTCCATTTCGCGGTTGTCGACAAATTGTAAGAGTTCTCGGTACCGGGCGGGCATTATATCCTGTTGGTAAAAGTAACAAGCGTGGTCAAGATTGGTGAAGCATCGGAGATACCCCATCAATGTTACTACGAGTGAGCAATTCGATGCTGGGTGAAGAGAAAGAAAAGGCGGTTGAATTGTGTCACCAACACCGCCAAACAGGCCAAGGTCAACATCTTGCCAGACTGAGAACGTCTCCGGATACCACTGCCTCTCCTGCTCTTTGACCGTCTCAAACTCTCGTTTGAGATCTTCAGGCAAATCCTCAAGCCGATATTCTTCAAATGGCTTTCGGTTGTTCTTGTCTAGTGCCATCAACTCAGACTTGTATAGAAGGCCGAGCGGAAACGTCGGGCGAGCAATTTTGCAGGTGAGAGTGAGCTTTTGAATCCACCGGGCCAACTGTTCGCTCTGAGATATTGCCTTCAAGTTCTCTACGCTGTTCCTCGAAGCAACGTCGAACTTTGTGTCGCCGATGACCTTTGCTAGAGCGCGCCATGAGGCATCCCGGAAATTCCTAGACGTCGAACGAAAGTCGAGCACTTTGTCCATCGATTCGCATCGATATATCTCGCAGGGGCTGCTGGGTCCTAGTTCGAGGAAACAGAGCCTGGCATCTTCGACTACCAGGAGCAATATAGACTCAAGGAGCTCGATCGGAAGACGGCCAATAGCGTCAAGATTGGGAGGCTCAGTCATTGTGGTGGACGACGGAGTGAGAGGGTGATTGATGTGGTTCGCGATGGCCGAAGAGTGTTAATTCGAGTGCGCCCTGTTGGTCTTGTAACTGCTACTACAGATCAGCGAATGAATTACACACGAGCCTGAATACACGTAGGCTTTGGAGGTTATCCTTACTTTTTGAGACACCGAAATGATCTTGAAGCTGTACAGCCTTCAACCTCCAGCGCGCACGAACTGTTGCAAGGCCTAGTGGCAATGGGCGAAGGATCGTGGCGGCGATAGTAGAGCTATCGCAGTAGGAGTGTGGTCGCAGAACCGCAATGACCGAAGGGTGGCGATAGCTGGACTATCGTGGCAGGTAGTCGCCGTGTCGCAATGGCCAACAGATTAAGTTCATGCTCATGTAAAAGCCTGGGAACAACGCTAGAGTTGCGCCAAGACCAACTAAGCCTCAACAAGCCAAACGGCTGAGCAGAGTGAATGCTAAGATGTCGCGTTTGAACAATCGTACGACACGAGAATTCTTGTCTCTTAGCAAAAGCCCTTGCTCATCATCTATTACTGCACCGTTGATGTCCTGTACATCTGCCCTGTCCGACCCAATGCCTAACAGTGTATCATCACATCGCTACTAAGGCTGTATCGTGGACATACACCTGCAATTTCTAACTCTAACAACAATTCTTGCTCGTCTTTTATGAGTGAAGCTTCGGCACTATGCTCATCCGACGCATCTACCTTGCCGCATAACAGTGCATCATCACATTGCTATCAAGGCTATTCTATCGACACGCACCATAATTATTTGTCTCTCGCAACAGTGCTTTTCATCACCTATGACAACACCACCGACAATATCGATACCATGTACATCTGATATATCCGAATCGCTGCATAATAGTGGATTATTATATTGATACGAAGCTGTCCCACCATTCCTCAGACATGCTCTTCGGATCCTCTACTCTTCGTCCCCATCTTCCTCCACCACCCCCTCCTCCACCTCCCTACTCGCCCCCAACATCTGCCCCCTCGTCGGCCAAAACTCCCTCTTCAACGCCCTCCTAACCTCCTTCTCCCTCCTCCGCTCCGCCCTCGCCTTCCTCTCCTCCCTCTTCTCCTCCCCGCCATCTTCCCTCTTCCCACCCTTCCTCTTCAACCTCCTCTCATCCCCCCACCCAAAGACCCCCTTGAACCTCTTCTCATCCAACACGCCGCGCTCTCGTCTCCGTCTAATCGCATCTTTGAAGTCGAACTCCGCGTCGTTTTCAGGCTCGGCGGGACTGGTGATGATGTAGCGAGCGCCTGTGAGTGTTGCGGCGAGGATGGCGAGGAAAATGACTACTGTCTTGGTGATTGAGGTTGGTGGGGTGGGCATGACGAAGGTGAGGGCGAGGGTAGTGAGGAGGAGGGCGAGGAATGTACTAGGGAGTGCGGTGTGTGGTGCAAGTTGGGGTTGATGCATGGTATGATTAGATTGTGATTGAGAGAGGGACGAGTGGGTGGCGAGGAGATTGTGGAGTTGATGGAGTAAGTAGGTCAAAGGTGAGTGCGACAAGCGTTTGCGCTGCGAGTGGAGTTTTCACTCTTGAGCTTTTTGTCCATGTTCATTTGCGCGGACTGCGTTTGATGGATTGCTCTTTGTCGCCCACGTGTTTGTCTGGAGGGCTCATGCCTCTTAGAAATCACCACGGCGCACCTGTTGCTTCCAGTTATGTTGCAAAACCTTGGAAGTGGTCTATGGCCTCGCACGTGATGAGCAGTACCTGAAGATCACACATGCAGTCTGTTGATACTTGTAGAGCTTGCACAGCTTGCACAGCTTACAGAGATCGATACGTCCAATGCAGTGAACAAAACAAAAAGCGATCAGTAATGTATGACGTATTACACTCTCGCACGTGCGACTGCTTTTGCGCCCATCGGGAAGGCGCGATAAGAACAGCATCTTTCCAAGCGAAAAGTGTTGAGGATGAAGTGCGCACCTTCCATGTTGACAACAAGCCCACGTGCGTCAACGTTAGCAGACGCAGCTACGCGAACCGGTGTCACATTGGCGGACTTGAGTTGTGGCATGTGGTAGCGAAGACGGGAAGGGTCGCGAAAACTTGCACCTAATTCACCGTATCGCCAACCGCACGGCTATGTATGCATGATCTGCAGGGCAATCGCCAGAAGTAGCAGGGAGTCAATATTCGGCTATCATAGACGGGTTGGTAAGGCTTATGTAAATGTCACCGACAGGCTGACGTGGATAGCTGAACAAGCCTGACGAAAAAGGCCACCGGGCCCTGGTTGACAGACGAACGCGAACGCGCAGCCCGATTGCCGACTCTTGAACTTGCTTTCCTTGCTTGCACTATGACCAACCACACGACGCAGTGGACTTGCGGCTAAATCAATAAATCCAAGAGTTGAAACCTGGGAAACAATTACCGCACCTCCTTGAAGCCGCCGCAACCCCGTTCGGACCGTCACGGGTGTCAACGACATGACGATTCCAAGTTTCCAACGTTCGTTTGTACCTGATGTAGTCTGTTTTGACTTTGTTCGCGCCAACAGCCTGGATAGGTAACCATGCCCGACCGTGTGTTCCTGATCGACGGCATGGGGATGTAGACGGCGCGTGCTGCATGTGACCGGAAGGCAAGATTAGCCACGATGCGCCGATGCCAACAGCTTGGTTTCCGATGCACCGTTGAGAAGGCAAAACGGTCGCCCAAACGTCTGTCGTGGAACCGAGGTGCCGAGGGACTATACCTTCCAAGTATAATTCAATGTTCACAGTCAATAGTTCCTGGGGCCAGGGTATGCTTGCGGCTTCCGAAAGGGGTTGGCGGAACTGCGCGGTGAGAGCAAGGATGTGACGACAGGGTGTTTTGGTGGACAGCGAGGGATAATCCAGGTCCGATATGTGGTGACTCCGGGTATATCAGACGAAGTGTCGGCGTTAATGCCGATCAAGATGCCGCCTCTCAGAGACCGTGCTGTGCACGACAAACATTACGTGTGTAGTGGACCATCAATATTGATCGGCAAACAAGTCGTCTATTATCAGAATAGAAGTCGTCGAAATAGAAGCAAGCGATGTGCTCTACTCGCACGTCTCCAGCATCTTCCGAAGAACCCCCATCAAGGTCCCATTCTCGAGAGCAGCAGCGACTCTCTCCTTGTCTCCGAGCTGCTTGTTCACCTGCTCGTCCGTGCTGTGGGTGCCCTTCTTTATGCGGACGTCGACACGAAAGCGTGGCGGCAGGGCCTGTTCAAGGCGTACGCGCACACCCAGACCAATGACGGTTGCTAGCGAGCAGTGGGTAATTGTCGGCGTGATCTCGACGACCACGGTGCTGATGGACGAAAGCGGGGAAGTCGGCGGGAGGATGTGAATGTCCGGCAGATTGACGACGGAGAGGGACCCGAGCGAGAGAGGATGTTCAGGGTCACAGATGGTGGAAATGAGGTCTGTCATGCGAGTGGTCAGCGAGCGGTGCTGGGGGGAAAGGGCAGGCACGTGGGCGGCGCACCATAGATTTCCTGCTCGTCGATGCTCTCTACGGCGACATCCTCATCATCAGAATCACTTGCTGAAACGGCTTCCTCAAACGGGTCGTTGAGATAGTTGTAGCGCGGAATCAGGTCGTCGAACAGGCCCGTGCTGCCGTTGTCACGTCGCTTCACCGTTGTCTCGCTGCGGCGGGAAGGGAGATCAGAGGGGTTTAGGATGGTCGGGTTTGCATTATCCTTGTCGTCCATGGCGTGGTGGAGGACACGTGCCGAGTCAGATGCAATTCGGTGACAGTGTAGGTGGTCGTCGCAGCTGCCCGTTACAGAGGGAATTGTGCGTGCAGTGGGAGACTCCTTCTGAAAAGAATAGGCTTGGCGCCCCTCCATGGAATGATCGCCATCCTGCACCACCACATGCACCAGGTGACCAACCGTCATCACCGCGCTCACCACCACCCACACCCATGCACTGCATGTCAGCTTGCCGCGGCGATTGGATGCTGATGCTGCGCCGCCGACGGCTCCGGATGAGTTGCCTTTAGCAATCGCGTTCCTAATCATCTCCCGAATGATTATCCGCCGTCAGCAGGGGACGTCGCTCTGTGGGGTTGCTTCGTTCCTTGAGGCATCCATGCCTTGCTAGCGGCCCCTTGGAGTATCAGGAACCTCCTGCAAGTCATCCAGCTCGCTACCTGTGGCAGCACAATCTTGCCACCCGCCAGCCTGACGCTCTGGTCGGCGACATGCGGCTGACGCGGGATGTACGTTCCCGTGCATGTCGCTCGCTGGCCTCTCTCTTTGTCTCTGTGCGCATCGACACCACAGTGACTTGGTGCAGTGCGCGCATCGCTAGCTTGGAGCAACTTTGTCGATGCAGGCACTTCTTGGAATAGGGCGTTGCCAAGCGGCTCTACGGCGGCATGATGCGACGCCGACGCTACTGCTGTACGCACGTAGCGGTAGAACATTGCATCGAAGCTCGTCCGTGTCTTCTACGACTTCAACGTCGGCCCAATGGAGACGCAGAGCTTCTCTGGCGGGACACTGGGAGATTCGACCTCATCAGAGCTGATCACCACAACGGACTACCCTGCGGATGCGCAGGAACACGGCAGCGCCGACGCCCCTGCCCAGTAACTCGGAATTGGTCAGGCTGCTGTGGTTGGTTGTGTGATTTGCCGAAGCAATTCGAACATTTCGTCATGCCTTGCTGCGGCGGGAGCAGCCGATTAGATACGGTATCGCGATCAATTCGACGTGACACGGCCTGCGTGCGCAGGAAGCATGATCGAGACAAACGTGAAGTTCATGGTCTGTATTTGCGTCTTTGCTACTACCAGTCTCGCCGTGGACCTCTTCTTTTGCACTCGTATCGGTGCTGCTTGAATGCATCGTGGTCAGCCAGTGGCACAGTGACACAGTGACACACTACGCTAATCGGCCAACCGTATTGTCGCGTGCGGGAGCAAAAGGGACACGACCCATGATGTCGGGATTCGAGAAGCGTTCGCTGTGATCCGGTGCGGCGGGGCAATTATTACACTCGTGTCCTAATCATGCAGCGCGATGCAGGCTATCCGTGCCAACTGCCACAATCTCCTTACGCCAGGCAGATTCATTGCACAGTGCCATGTAGAGGTCGTGAAAGTATTGCTTCATGCAAGCTTCAACCTTGGAGCTGCGCCTGTCGTCGAAGCCCTGCTTTCCATGGCTCCGCCTTCGAGCTAATGCACGAATCAATCCACCGAGGCAACTTGCTAGCAGACACTGAACGGCTTAGCCAACGCCCACGGCGCAACACGGGCATACTCATCTTCATGCCCAACCCAGGAACATGCTTGTGTCGCCAGAGTCGAATGTGTCGCCATGGAGTGCTCGCCGACACACACGGTACACATCACAGTGTACCCCTAAGACAGATGCAGTCTCAAACTGAAGAGCGTTGGTGCGCCTTGTAGTGCCTTTGGTGCTACGTCAAAGTGTGTCAGGCTTGCAAGACTGCGAATAGGCGCGCTTCATCGGGCTCCTGGATCCTTCGTCGTCGTGCAACGACTTTCCAGAATGTTTCCACCCCTTTCGATGCCTACCTGTGTGCATCATGCTGGTAATATGAGCTGGGTACGGCATAATACCTCATCTGTGCTATTTACGACGCATTTTCTGGAAACACGACCCACCAACTTGTGGGCGACTGTTTCCTTGGATCATCGAGTCCATGTGCAGATGATCCGAATGTCCCTAATGCCATTTTGCATTGACACTCAGGCACCTGTTGCAATTATTAGAGACGAGAGGGACCAACCAGCTGCATAGCAGGGTTTGCTAGCACGTTTGACGCCATCCAGCCCTATCACAGACAGCGCTTGACACCCGCTTCTCTGAGACGTCTAACGGGCGGCGGGCGAGGCTATCAAACTTCTCTTACAGAACACCCAACCAAGGCCGCCGCCACTGGCTCTGTTGCAGAGTGTTGAACAAAACCCCCGGTGGAAGGGTTTGCACGGGTGTGCTGATGAGAGCGGCGCCGGTGCGACAATACATCTCAGCTGTCAGACTATCGCCCCCCCGCCCATCTATAATAGCAGCAACGTCGAGCCGATCGCGCGAGACGGTAGCATTCGAACATCCACCACATCCACTCCTGTGCGATTCACGTCGGCCAAGCAGACTGCGACCCCCTGCAGCCTAGCACCCGTCTCCCCCCCACAAGCACGGCAGTTTCCAGCACTGGCTGCATCTCGAAGGCGGGCACTCACGCGCTTGGGTTCTTTTACTACAGGCTAGCCAGATATTTTGTGCCGTGCGGCTGCTGGTTCCGCTTCTGCAAGTGTACTCGTCTCGTCTACCCCTCGCACCCTGACCCCTTCATACACACGAGCCGACCAGGCATACGACATTCACGACACCCCCAGGAGGCCCATACCGCGACGCCACTGCTGCACGCGGGAGCCACGCTGCGAGCCCGCCCCTGTGCGTCGTCGAAGCCCCCCCCGGCATGCCAGACGTTGTCTCCACCTACCAATCCTATGCGCCTAGATCTGCCGCCGTATAATCCATCGTCACCCGGCTCTGCGGAGATTTCCTTTTGATCGTAGAACTGTACATTAGCACTATTGCGGCCTCTTTGCACCTTTGGCCGACCTCTGGACCAGTTTGAACGTTCTTCCGGCCATCAAAGAACCAAGGGAATCTGGACCGCTGCCCGCCCACTGCTGCAATTGGTTGTCCGCCCGACATCCGCCCACAACCTCACCATCCTAGCGGACAGCCGACGACCCCGCCGCGCATTGCAACCACCACCGTCTTTCAGCCTCGCGCTGCCCTCCCGTAAGGGCTTGCTACCTAAGATTTGATATGCCCACCGAGACCAGTGGACGGCCACTGTTGCCCCAGACGGCGCAGATGCAGAGCTTCACGTTCGCGCCGCCAACACTGGCACCGCGCGAGAACCAGCGCAGTGAGTCTTCACTCCACTGCGCGATCAGCGAATTGGCGACTAATTGTGCTATGCAGACTATGTATTTGTGGATGAGCATAACAGACATAAGCGACTGAAAGGTACGCAAGCGGGACGCTGAAAGCTGCCGTCCAGCTTCGCATGCAGTGCTAACGTTGGGCAGTAATGAGAGCATGTGAAGGCTGCCGCCGACGCAAAATTAAATGTGATGCTGCAACGACGAACGCATGGCCTTGCGCAGCTTGCATCCGTCTCAAACTCAACTGCGTGCCGCCGACTGTCAGCTACGACAAGGACTTTAACGGCTCGCAAGAGTACGAAATTGATTCGAAGCCAATTCAATATGGCTCGCCAGACGACCCGTCCCAGCACGACTACCAGTCTCATCCGTCCATGCCACACGGCATGCACCACCAAATGCCGCCTTCGATGCCAACACCTGTCTCGGCCATGTATCAGACCTCGCCATATGCCAACCAACAATCGCAAGAGTCCCTCCAGTATCAGTCCATGTCGCAGCCTCAGGTTGTTCAGCAAAGCATGGGCTATCCTGCATCGCAGGCGTACTCGCAGTCCTCAGCACCCCCGCCGGCCATGACAATGACCCCACCAGAATCGGAGCCCAACTGGCGCAGCGACTCGGTGTCGAGCATCACAGATGCGCTGGGCGAGCTTAAGATCGACCACACGGCAATCGGTGAGCGAAGAGCCTCGGCTTGTGGGGGATTCTAGCGCTAACTACCACAGCACCATATATTACTAACATGAAGAAAGCCTTGGCAGAAACACCAGCGCAGGAAGAGTACGAAGTGCAACTACCTGCGTCAGTCAGTTTGGACCACACTGTTCGCGTACCCCCGGAGATGATGCCAGCTGAGGAGCAAGCACTACAGTACTTTGACTACTTCTTCACCAACATTCATCCATATTGCCCAGTCATCAACAAGGCGTACTTTTATCAACAATGGCAGAGCGCGCGAGACTCGATCTCGCCTTTGATGCTTGAGGCAATTTTTGCATGCTCGACTTTGATGATGGGTGACATCGAAGAGGGCAGCAAATGGCTAGCGCTAGCGACAAGTCAGTGATTTGGCAGCTTTGGTTCTGAGGATGTACTAACAATGTGCAGAGCATGAGGAGAGCTTCAAGGACGTTTCGCGACTGAGTACCATGCAAGCCATGGTACTTCTGTTGAAGGCGCGAGAGGCTTCACCAAAGCGAGGGTACTTCTGGCGTTCTTGGATGGCTACGGTCAGCCTCGTTGCGATGGCAAAAGACCTAGAATTGCATGACCACTACGACACGCACCGCATGGGCAAATCTTGTGGTTCAACAGGCCATGACTGCATCGCTAAGACGAGGGTATGGCAGATGTGTCTTATCTTCGAGGCCATGATTGGAGGTCCTCAAGGTTGGTTCAGTGCCCTATGATCATTGACAGCACTAAAACCATGCACAGGACGGTATGACTATTCAGTCGATCCTGAGACTGTTGACTACGACATGCCGAGGCTGGTCCCTGGCCAAGATGCCACAGAGTTCCAAATCGCTCGTCAGTTTGTTCAATACACTCGCGTTGCCAAGAATGTCTATCAGACAGCGTCATTGTATGGCAAGTTGAGGAAGAAGAGTGCCGACTGGGCTCTGAGCCCTGCCTTCCTGGGCCACAACGCAGACTTCTCAGTATGGTTGCGAGAAATACCGGATGACATGCAGATCGTATACCCACAAGATGGCACGGCACCCTGGATCCCATCCCACATGATTGCAAACATGCATTGCTACCACTTCCTGTCGATCGTCATGCACTTCCGTCCTCAACTGCACGCGGTGTCGGAGAACTACGATGGAACCTGGAAGCAGCATATGATGACCTGTTACTCGGCGGCAAAGACAATGTGCAAGCTTCAAGAAAGTATACTTAAGACCTACGGCATGCCAGGGCTGCTTTGCATGCTCAGAGGTATCAGCTTCCACATCTATGCTGTGCTCACATGTACCATGCTGCACTTGGTAAGTTGCGCCCATAGCTATCGTAGATGGCAAATATTGACGTGACAGGTCGCCATCACTTGCCCCGATCCCGACATACACGGCGACGCCAGGGAGTTCTTTGTACGACACATGCGTATTCTCGAGACCTGTGGGCCACACTTTCCCATGCCGGAGATGCAGCAGCAGGTCAACAGCCTCCGTCAGGCGTTTTCTGCTGACATCAGCAAACCATTCGAGATGAAGCCAACGTTTCCATTCGGAAGCCCTCAGGTGGCTCCACAATCCAGTCCTCTGAGTAATCATGGTTCATATCGGTCTCGCCACCCGAGCCAAGCATCGCCATTGGAACAGCCAGGTCAGGTCAACTACCATGCACATCCCATCACCCCACCAATCTCGGCTTCCGACCGGGGCGCGAAGGCTGACTCTCCCGCAGCCCAGTCTCTGGTCATGATGGCATCCGGTCAACGTGCACCCCAGTCAGCTACCGGTATGCAACTGCAGGAGACTGCACAGTGGAATCCCCAACGCATCTTCGAGTATGTATACCCCACAGCAACAGCCATCACAAGCACTAACAAGATATAGTCAGTGGAATGTTGCCTTTGGTACGCCTCCCCCCAGCGCTTCTTCCCAGTCATCCCCGCCGCTAAGACCAGGACCTCCAGGCAGCAATTTCGACTTGCGGGCGCAGGAAACACCACAATCAAACTATCATCTTCCCAGCACTTCACCTCAAGCGAATGTCATGCAAGCTACACCAAGCCAGTTGCCTCCATCCTCCGGGTATCCGAGCACGAATCCTTCATACGTCACTCCTTCCATGTGGCAAGAAGTAGTTGCCAGTTCGTTCTCGGATGGACTGAAGCGGAGATGGGATCACGGAAGCACATCCATGCCTGAGCAACAAATGTATAAGAGGGCACGTTGAACACCTCGACACGAAATGTTTGTAAGAATTACGGTCTGAAGATGGTCGAAATCCTCCAGGGATCCATATCCAGAGAGCACTTGTAAAAGTGGTACCGCACAAGCTTTGTCACACCATGTGCGAAGGCAGGCAAGACAGTGTCGCAGGACCGGGCCGCCAATCAGATCTGGATCTTTCACTACACGTGGTAGTCTCGGTCATATGCTCGACGGCAAGATTTGCGCAGAGTTGAAGGTCACATGCCGGCGGATGAGACACCATCTTTGCAGGCTGACTTCACCAGCGCCAATGTACTATTATCCCGCCTCGCTATAGAGGCGGTAACGACGGCATGACGGTCATGGAACATCGCGCACCATCTGGTATGGTCTAGCCGCTATTGTAATGTTACTCGGTCCACCATATCGACCATACAATAATCACCAATGCTGTTATATATCCACATTTTTATTTCGCGCAGACTAGTATCCGGCATGGGCCACAGCCTTGTTGTCGTCTCCATTGATTCCGTCAACCACTGTAACAGGAAACTGTCCACCAAGGCCAGTCCATTCGATAATGATCCTGGTTTTCGGATACGGCGCCATCGTTAACGAGGTCAACTTTCAGGCGCTTCAAGGGTCCTAGCAGGGATATCCAACGAGGCCGTAGTTCATCCGTCTGTACACTACTACTACGCACTGCATGTTGCCAATACTTCCAAGCGTACATATTCCTGTTGTCGCAACTTGCTACGCAATAGCTTATGCCTGTTATACATAAAAAAGATGCACAGCGTCCTCGCACCCCCACGTTTTCGGGCGCTCTTTAATTTATTAGACTTTAGATACTTCCAAGCGAGCCGCCCGTCTCTCCACCTTTTCACCGTTTGGAAGGCGCTATAACACACGTGCGACGACACGACAAGATGCTCGAGCGTGATTAGTGGCCGAATTCCAAAATGCGAAACTATTAAGGGCCCGTTACACGCTACTTGTAACTTTGTACGCACGTCATATGTCAATCCCTCCGCACCCAAGCTTCCGTCCGTCCAGTCGTCTATGAAGCCGATGACATACTATATCGAGGCGACATCGTTCACTGCAGATCTTCAGCCTTGAAACATGAATCAATAAATGCACAGATCAGGACACACGCATTGCACAAAGTGCTATGGTCCAATTCAATAAATTCCTACAAACCAGCTATCCGTCATGCGCCACCCATCATGTTTGCCTCGTGCAAGCTATACACACTAGCGCCTTCGACGCAATATCGACGAGCCGCATGATTTTGGGAAGATTCCCGAGGCTCACAAAATAACTACGGAAAAACTCTGGCATGTGAAACGAATTACGCACAGACATGACTGATCCATTTCCAAGCAGGGTCGACGCAAGGATCCCTGCAGGAGCGCGCGCGCTTCTGCGAACGGGCCACATTATCATCTGCGGAGCAGTTTGTGGGCTTGGCTGCTTCTGGACTTTACATGGGCAGCTTTTGTTCCTGCACGCGATTTTCACACGTGTGGATAGGATCGAGATGCGGACATGGGTGGATGGGAATGGGTGAATTGTCACATGCTATTTTCCTCTAGCACTGCAGTCTGGGGCGATTAGTGTCACTGCTTACAATAA